CTCCGTTATCCCAGTGACATCATAGTTATTTGCATTTAGCAGAAGAACAAGTTCCTCCTGTTTATTTCCCAGGCTCCTGGGATTTGTGTATAGACACGCGAGTGTCCCCTTGGGGACCCTTGCCCTGCCTACATTTTGTTCCAGGGTTGGGGCTGGGGTGGGATACCTTATGTGCCTTGACCTGCTGGCTTTGCAAGGGCCCCACAGTGGGCTAGCCGTGGCAGTAGGCCCCCCATCCCCTGGTGGGCTTAGTTTTAAAGCCTGGTGGAGCAGGTCAGCCAGTCTGGCTGAGAAGAGCCTCCTCCCCAACGGAGAGAGGTGGAGGCTGTCCCTTCTCAGCAGCTCGCTGCCTCTCTCTCCAAAGAGCAGACTGATAATGGAAGCCAAAGCCTTCCCGATGACTCCAGTGCTGCAGTCTTTGGTTGACTACCTGGATCCTCCTCTCCCTTCTCAGCCCATAGCCCGAGACTGGGAGGATTGAAGAAAACACCACCTGTGCCCCCAGACCCTTTAGCCCCGCACCCAAATCCCTGTAGCACCTCATGACCAGGCTGGGAGCACTCCGAGCAATGTCATTGGTGCCCACGTGGATGAGGAGCATGGGATTGTGGCCAGTGGGCTGGAGGAGCTTAGGGATCTTCTCCGCAATGTCTTGGATGCGGGCTCTCGGGAAGCAGCAAAATTCCTGGGCTAAGGGGTCAGGGTGGCAGATTACCCCCTCAGTTCCCCTCAGGATGGATGTTGTGCTTAGCCCATAGTTTGTGGCAAAGACTGCTGGCAAGTTCTGGGCCCTGGGTGGCAGAGGGCATTGGCAGTGGCTGGGTTGTCACTGGTGGTGATCCTAAGCTGGCAGCAGTAGTGCTTCCTCATCAAGTTGGTGCCTGGGGCTGGTTTACCATACCCCTCCTTTACTTACACCGCTGGTTTTTGGAAGTTATAAATTGTTATTCCCAGGCCTGTCTTTTTAAGCTGTTCAGTAAATTTCCCTTGAGCCATGAGCATTATGGAGCCAGAAAGCGAGTGGTGATTCTCTGAAAAATGTTCCCTTATCCATGTTTGTGTCTGTGTCCTTTCATCTCTTTCCTATGTTCGTTCATTCTGGAACATAGTTTTTGTCTAGTTTCACCCATATATTTTCCATGAGGACATCTGCTGAAATGCATGACACACATCACATTCTGGGATAGAAATGTGTAGGATTCATGGATTCTGATAATTTCATTGGGGGGGGGGGCAGGGATTATTGTGGTAGCAGCGGTGATGAGTCAACAGGTCTTGCATTTCACAAAGTAGGGTTGTGTCCCATTAGGTGTATGTTAATCATCAAGGAGTTTGCTTCTGAGTTGGGTGAGGCTGGGGGGTTGTTTAAAAGCCAAGGTGGGGGGGAGGGGGAGAGGGAGAGAAAAGGGTGAAATATTTCTCTCCGGGTCTGATTCTCTTGGAATATATGCTGTAATTGTTTGATGGGCCTTCTTATCAATTACATTGTAGGCTAAAGTAGGTGACAACCAGGGGTTTGTGGTCAGGGGAGGGTTTATTTTTGTGTTGTAGTAGGTTGCTGCAGGGTATTTGGGTCTATGCCTCTGCTAGAGTGTCCTTGCTAGGTAGGCAGTTTGCAGGGTGGCAAGGTAGGTGTTGCAAGTATGTTCCTTGGAGAAGATGTGGTTGGTATCCTAGGGCCTGACTGTAGATTATAGCTTTCTTTGTTTGGGATGACTGATAGTTTTGTAGATGCAAATATAGTGGTCTGCAGGTTTTTTCTATATAATAGTAGGATGCTGTCCTACTAACTTAAAATCTGCAGAAGAATACTTTGGGCCTAAAAATGTCTAAAATCTTTCCCAACCATGTGGTTGGTCCAATAAAGTGCAATCATCCAAAATATCCTTGCCTCTCACATGTTTCCTGGACTGTCATGGCTAGCAAATCACCCCCAACGCTCTTTATTTCTCTCAGACTGGGGACCTGCTAAATGATTTAATTTTTTGCCAGCTCTCTTTGCCCCATTCCCAAGATCTGTGATATTAATTTTTCATGTGGTACAACTTTCAGATTTGTACCCAGAATATGAAGATTGTCATATGTCAGGAGAGAAATTCATATGATAAAACTGATTGATGTCTAAGGGTAGGGATAGACATTACATATCATCTGGTTTAAGTGATCAGAAACTGGTTAAACCTGTAACAGAACAGATGTTCGGTGCACATAAACCAGTGTGAAAATAGCTGAAACCGGTTTGAGATGAACCTGGTTGAATCTAGTATCAGACTTAACTGATTTGGGCCAAACCTGTTTATGCAATGTCTGTCCCAGACCCCTTGCTGGTTTAAGTTAGATCAGACACCCCCAGCATCCCTGCATGCTCTCTGGGCTGGGCAGGGCTCTCTGCTCCATAGCAGAGCTGGCTCCTTTCCTCTGCTCCCTGGCTGGAGGTCAGCACAGACTGCAGGTGTCCCTGCTCCCCTTCTTGACTCCTCTGCCTTACAGACACCTCTTAGCATTAGCTAGCAGACCAAATACTGGCTGCTGTCTGTACTGTGGCAGACTGGAAAAAGGGAGAATCAACAGGTAGCTGGTAATGTCCCTCTGTTTTCTTAATGAGGTGATAAACACTGAGTTTGGGGTGATAAACACTTATCAATTTCTGGCTGGGTTGGTCAGAAGCGGGGTGGGAACTCCTCCCTAATCAAAGCATCCTGCCAGGGCCTGGCCATGTCCCCCCTCAGCTCAGCCCTGGACTAGGGAAGGGAGGGCTGCTCTAGTGCCCCCAGCTTCTAGCCTGAGCCACTGCAGGCATGTGCCTGCATGTCTGGGATGTCTGTGTACTTACAAAGTGATTTAGCCTAGCCACATTAGACTAACCTGCAAAGATTGATTGAATTCAGGCTCAGGCTTTTTGAATGTCTGTCCCTAGCCTCTAAGGACATGGCAAAATTATTTTGCATGAATGTGTCAGAACACCTATTCAACAGTAACAGCTCTTCATTGCTCTTAATGGTTCACTCTCCATTTTTTTTGACGCTATCCAGGCTTGTACTTCTCCCTGGTAAACTGAATTTTCAGATTAAAAACATTATCTTCTGGTTGCATCTTGTGTAGCAACTAGGATAGAATTTCTGGTGCTACTCAGATTACATCTGTGTGTGTTTATATTGCAAAATTCTCTCATTTTCTTGGCTTCTTCCCCAGGTACTTTAATCTGAAACCCTTCTTCTAATTCCTTCCATACATAGCACTATGGTGCCTGCACCCATATATAAGTCTGTTGAAAGAACATCAATCACTTAGCAACTCCAACCCTGTTTAAGCTCTTATATGAGGAGTCAGAACATTGTATTATGGGAGACCTTTGATCTGACTCTGATTTTTATGTATAGGTTTCCCTTGCCAACCATAGGTTTGCCAACCATAGTTTTGAGTATCCATGCTTCAGAGAAGGGGAGGGGGATACAGTTGGAAAATTACCCCCCACGGCTCTCTTGGCCCTGCTGGTGCCCCCCGCCCCAGCCCCTGCTCCTCCAGCCCTGTGGGCTTTGCCAACCACAGGAACTTGCAGAAACCTAACCCTTGTGATTGACGAGGGAAACCTGTAAGCAAGTGCAAATCTGGAGTAACTACCACGGAGTTATAACCATGTGATCTTAGAACCAGGGCTGGTCTCTCAGAAGGCCAAATTGTCTGTTTGTTTGTTTTCTGATTATAAATTAGTGCAGCTCCATTAAAGGCAGTGAAACTGCACCAGAATCTGGTATACGTTTAGAATCAGTGCCTGAGACTGGCTTGATTTTTTGCATTGGGTAAGCAAAGCATCATCCTTAATCTTACTCAGACAGAAATGCAGTGCGAATCATATACATAAATTTACACACTTTAACTTCAGCATAGCTTGAACAAACCACATGATGGCAAATATGGATTGTCTATCAAGAGATATGTGAACCATATTGACTGGAACAGCTGGGTTCCCTGAAACTTAAACTAGATGTTTATGCACTTTTTTTTTTCTTTCATTATTATTTTTTGTGACAAAGGTAAAGGTTTATTCATCCTCCTGTATCCTTGTGTGACCTGTGACCCATTTCCTAGTAACTCAATTCCCATACTGTCATTTACACAGAAATAATGAAGCTTTATTTACAGTTCAGTTTTCCAGATTCAGCTAAATTACATTTTCATGCAACAAACCATAGGTTACTTGTCTAGAATTAGTTCTTTCCCTCAGTGTGGAGAGACTCCCAATTTCTGCATTGACTGGCATTGTTCTTCTCTGTAACCTTCATGTAGCATGCATCTTCACATGTCTGATGACAGGATGGGCAGCCCTTTCTCCTTTAGTCTCCACTGAGATTTAAGATAAATTTTCACTCTATCTAAACTGCTACTTTCCAATTTACATGAAATCGTAGCCTGGCAGTCCTAAATTTGCAGTAGAAATCAAGGAATAAATGTACCATTTTTTTCCATTGGGCAAGGAGGAAAAGAAGAAAAAAGGAGATATTCGTTGAACACTATTTCTCGAAGTCACCCATGTTTCCAATTGAGGGTCCTAAAAAGAGTAGAAACTTCAATATTTTTCTTAATAGAGGTGGTGTGCGTGTATTAAGTTCCTAATGATGTTTGAGGAGCTTTCCCAAATTCCATCTATAACAACTTTTAAATAATATTTGGGGATTTTTTGGTAGATAACTATTTTGGAAATCACTATTTTCTCTTCACCTTGTTACCTGGGTGGATTCCAGAAATATGCTTAGTGATACAACTAATATACAGTATAACCTCCTAAATCCAGCATGCTGAGGACTGAGCACCTGCCAGAAATTTGAAAATTCTGGTGTTCTGAGACTGGAGCGGTGGCCAGTCGTGGAATGAGGCAGGGGGTAGCGGCAGCCAGTCCTGGAGCAGCAGTGCTGAGTGGGGTGGTGGATGGCAGCAGCAGCCATCGCATGCAAGCTTCACCCTCCGCATGGGGGGAGCAGCAGCAGGTCCTGAAGCAGTGGCTGCATGTGGAGCAGTGGCGCAGGGTGGTGGATGGCGGCAGCAGCAACATTCCCCCTCCATGTCCGGGGGAGCAGAGAGGGAAGCTTAAAAAGTGCCAGATTTTCGAGAATTTTGAATTTTTGATATCCAGATTGGTTAGGACACACTCTCTCTCTCTCTCTCTCGCTCGCTCTCTCTGTCTGTCTCAATAAATCACAACTCTCTAGTTAACGCTTCTAATTTTTAAATAAATAGATCATACAGTCAACATTACAGTGCTACTGATAATTCTTTTCCTTCCAACAACAAATATAAATATTTATATACATATATTTGCCCCCTAGGCATTAAGGTTACTTTATTGAAATCTAGGTCGCTGTTACTCCTGTTGTCTTGGTTACTAGATGTGTTGGGCACAAATTCTGAAATGATTCTAGTAATTTAATTATTTTGCAGCAATAAAATAATCTTCTAGCTTATCCTTAATGACATCGTGAGCTACAATGATTTTCACCTCAAGGGAAAG